CGGGGGAAGCCGGCGCTGGGGTTGCCCGTCCTTCGCCAGCTTGGCACGGGGCGGGCTGCCCCTGACTGAGAACGGGTTGTCGTTGCGGGGCGGGAGAAGGAGGGCAGCTCGCTCGGCCTGCCTGGTGGCAACCCATAGCCTAATCTCCTGTCGTTTATGCCGGTAGAAGACGGAGTGGTCCGAGCCGTGGCTGGTGGGGCTGGCGGTTTTCCACGTCCTCTGCTTCCTCCTAACGTACGTCTCTTTCCAGCACTACCGGGTGCAAATAGGGCACTTCCTCTGCATGGGTGAGTAGTGTATTCGTGCTGCCGTGAACTGGCATTCGGGTGGTAGAGGGCATGTGCATTGTTTAAGCCGCTAATACTGTGAAATAGCTTCTTTTGGTCTTTTAATGATAACTGTTTTCTTCCTGTACTCGCACAGCGCACGGTTTTATACTTTGCAGCAGGTAAAGTGCATGCAAATTAGTGCTTCTCTTGTGGTAATGCATCTGTATACACGATAAACTATTACAGAAGCTGCTGTGACCTATAAATATGTCGTTTCCAAGACTGTGTAAAGTAGTGACTTAAACTTCTGGCCTTAGTGAGGATCTCCTATAAGTTAGGTTTGTGTATGGTGAATGCTGTGTGTATATCACAGCTTCCGAATAAATTGTTGCTGTGCTGGAGAACCAGAAAAGACATCAGCTGAGAGCCAGCAGGTGCTTGCTGCTCAGCTTTATTCTAATGCTGTAGTTCAGTGAATATGGTCAGCTTTCAGCTGGATTCATTTCTGGAGCAGGTTCACCATATGCCCCACAGCTTAACGATGGCATGAGGAACAGCAAGACTGAGTCAGTACATTGCAGTACCAGCTTGTTTTATCTCAGGGTTTATCATCAGACTTTCACCTGAGAATCCACATTGGCTTTGCCTACACAAAGCTGTGTCTTTATGGCTGACAGACTGAAGATCTAGTAGCTTTGCAGAGAGTATTTGGTTTAATTAACATAGCACGAATTTGGGGTTGATCCATGTATTATGAGCAGTTCCTTGGTTCTAGCCACGAGGGTATTTTCTGGTGAGTTGGGTTTTTTTACACACTATGTCAGTTCTGTCATGATTGCAGGAAGAATGAGCAACTGAAAGAGATTTGCAGGCAAAAAGCCACTTGAAGACTGTGTTAAGTTTTTAAAATATCATTTAGTGAACTAGTCAAGTTGGGAGAGGAATTGTAGCTTCCTCGAAACTGCAGATACTTAAGTCAGCTAAAGCTAAGGTTTCAATAAGGTTAAGTACCCCCAAAAAGGAATTTAGAAACCATAGCAATTTCTGTAATTCGCTTGTAACTGCAGAGTTTAAAATGATCTACAGAGGGCAAAATAGCAGTGCCCCATTTATGACATGTTAGGCCTGAAAGTTCCCTATCAGAATATACGCTTTTCTTTTTTTATTTAATATTCATTTTATATTAGACATTCAGAATTTCCAGTGACCTGCTCTTTACTTTAGATGGAGAGTCTAAAGTAACTTCCAGTGTTCTAACACTCGCTTGAATGGCCAAGGTCTAACTGCATTGAAAAATGTAGTGGAATTGATCATTGTTGGCTTTTTAACCCAGATATGTTGTAAACTTGCTGTTGACAAGAGTGAGTAAAAATATCCATATTGAGTGCAAGCCTTGTTTGTACTTGAAAAACTGAACCACTTTTGATATGTCTGCAATATAAATAACTTTGTATTGTAGATAGTAAAAAATAACCGAGGAAATAATGAAATTATCACATTGGTTTACTTTGGCAGCTGAGCAGCTATATGTATGTTTATACTGTGCAGTGCCAAGCAGAGATAATCTAGCTGGTGACAAAACAGTATAACACATTGTATTGTCATGGTGCTCCTTCATATCACCAAACTAGTTATTTAGTTACCTTGTGCAAGTCATCTTTAGTCACTGAATCTGGGGTTTTTTTGCCTTTTTTTCATGTGAAAAATGAAATGAGGACAAACTTAAAAAATTTGTAATTACATTGCTTTTTTGTTGAGTGTGATTGCACTGGATTTTCTTACTGTCTTGCTGGCTTCATGTTGCATGTAATCGTCAACTAAGAATATGCTAGTTTTCACTGACCTGCAGCAGACTACTCTGCTATGCACCTATTCAGTCAAAGTTTGTATTTTACCAAAATGCTTATATATAATTAATACCCTAACTTCAGATGCTAATGTTAGATGTAGCAGTGTGACACCAGAACTTCTATAATGATAACTTAATTCCATAGGAGTTTTGGGGAGTGCTGGCATTTCTTTTTACAGACATAACTTAGAAGCAGTCACCAAGAAGTTTGTTGGAATAAATACTGGGTGTTTTTTCATTATTTTTTTTTATTCATTTGTATGTTGAGCTCTTTCTCTAAGCTCAGATGAATAGGAGTTTGTGATATAGTGTGTATGTTTTGTGATCACTTAATACTTCTTAGTAACTATATGGAACATTTAATTCAGAATTGGTTTTGTGGAATTAAAAGTTAAATATGTAGTTTGATCTTGAGAGGGTCAAGGAATTCTAATGTCTGGTATGTATACATCTTTAGTATACAAGGCAGAACTGATGGCAGTTTATTTTTAAAGAAATATTGATTCTAATATTTTTCTTTTGTTGTACAGTGGGCTTAGTGTACTGTGCTGAATATATAAATGAATTAGCAGCCATGAATTGGAGGTAAATGCTTTTACTTTCGTTTTTGCATTTAAATGAATGTTCTTCTAGAAATACTCTTTTTTTCATATAATTCCCAGAAAAATTAAATTAAAGAGAGTCATTCATGCCTCATCAGTTGAATGTGATGGCAGAGGGTCTGCGTTGATGCATATAAAACTTTTGAACAAAACCATACAGCACAAGAACTTTGATAGCTTTTGCTTATTTAGAACAGAAAGGAAGGGGAGAAACTTTATAATGTTCTTAGCTTATAAGAAAGGTAATTTTTAATAGCTTGCATGTGTTTATTGTACTGCTTTAAATCTATGTTTATATGGGTGGTTGTAAATTAACTAATCGGAGAACTAAAAGAAAAGTGGAGTAGGATGATTAAGGGGAACAGGGCGTGAGCTTTAGCTGGGTTTTTTTGTGTTGGGTTTTCTTTGGTAGCTATTCATGTTTAATAAGCTCAAGTTAAGCACGACTTAAAAATATCACTACTATTTTATGTACTTATTTATGTGCATAAAAACATTAAAATTTGCCTGCTTTACTAAGTCTGTGTACCAGAATTAAACTAATGTCTTTTTTTCATAAGCACTGAACTAACTTTTCCCTAATATAACTGGACATTATGCATTTAACACTACTTTATGTAGGCATCTAATTGTAAGTCTTTACGTTCCACTTCAGGCATACACAACGTAAATTTCAGCTTTGATACATTTATTATTTCCATTATCTTTTCTAATATGAGTGAAATTACTTTCCCAGGTATTTTGGTTAAACACTTGAGGATAAGCACGATTTCTGAGGCACAAATATATGTACTAATAGATAAAGTAACTTAATGTAACTACATGATTGTTTTATTTACATTTTGAGCAGTAAAACCTTAAAGAAAAGAAAGACTGGTATTGTAATAAACATTCATAACTGATGAAATATTGTCTGTCTCTTTGTTCTGACTTAGTACAGTAGAACGCTGGCCTACTCTTGGGCATCCCAAGTAGGACAATCTGTACAATGTCTGTGTTGAATAGTTACTGTGCAAGTCTGATGCTGCGTGAACTACAGTGAATAAAGCTTCCTCTCTTATTTTTCTTTATTTTATTTCTTTCAGGCTGTTTTCTAAATACCAGTACTTTGATTCAAGAGGAATGTTTATTTCGCTAGTATTTTCAGCACCACTGCTGGTGAATACTATTATAATTGTGGTATGTATGTGTTCATTTATATGGATGCTTTCATTAAATTGATAAATAAATGTATGTGGATTAGTTAAATTTAATAATTTACTTTTCAGGTCACCTGGGTTTATAGAACTTTGAACGTAATGACTGAATTGAAGACACTACAGCAGAGAATGAAGGCAGAAAAAGAGAAAAAGAAGTGACAGCACCTAACACTATTTTTTTTAAATTCTAATAATGCTTGTCCAGGTAATCAGTCCTTCTGCACGTTTATCCAGAAACAGCAGTGTTTTTGTGTCCGATGTCAAGAGGACTTTGCAACCTGTGGCTGTGGACAATAAGATGAAAGCAGGTATCTACAATACATCTGAATTAGTTGTGAAATTGAGAAACCCAGTCTTAACGAGTCTTTGTGGCCTTCAGGGTGAGGTAGTTTTCCACCATGGTCAAGGCAGTTAGTATTGGTGAGACACAGTCTTCCAGTCTGTTTCCATTTGCCTATGTATTTTTTAACTATGTCTTAACTGTGTGTTTATCAAGTATCCTCTTCTGCTCCGTAAGCCAATTGGAGCAGTGTGGTGAATTCCAGTATATGAAGGATTGTATTCAGCATACCTCAGGAACCCATGCTTCTATGAAGCATTTCACTTCTTTATAAATCAAGCTTCATACTTCATATGTGTATTGTGTGCTGGTAGCATTTTATAAATAAAATTGTCCACTGTGTCATAAATTGAGTTAATTTGTATTAATTTTTGATCGTATTTTTTCTTTATTTTTTGTCATAAAAATTCCCAGTTTGCTAAATTCTTGTACTTAATTTGTGTAAGTAATTCAAAACGATCTCTCCATTATTTTTTCAATTTACATTTCATGATTTTAATGCTACTAGGTAAATATCTTTTCTTAAAACTGGATGAAACTTTGATAGCTTTTGCTTATTTGTAGAACAGAAAGGGAGGAGAGAAACTTTATAATGTTCTATGCAGCTTTGTTCCTTTTTAAATATATTTTACTTTTTTTAAATAAATAACTGAAAATGAAAAATTGGCTCTGGTAAAAATGAAGACAACTTCAGTTTTGCTCAGAGTAGCCTGGTTTTATTGGATTAAGGAAATTTTCAGGGTGGGAATGAATACAATGGAAGACTGTCATTACATATGTAGTAAAAGTTGTATGTGGAAGCAGTTAAACCTTTGTGTGGAGACCTGAACTTCCGTCTACAGTAGATGCCATTTAAGACATAGGAAGGATGATCTACAAAATTGAATTTAGACTAATGTGAAGAACAGTTGGGTACAAAAATGCAGAACAGTAGGAAGCTTTTAAGCTTGCATGTATTTGTGAAATTAATTGTAAATACTTGAATAGTTTTCACAACAATGGGAATGTGGACCTGAGGGAGATAAGCAGATGACTATGCTTACACAGTTTGCAAGTCTCGGAGCTAGGGCGGAGAGAGACTGCTTCTGGAGGGCTTCACAGCATTGTGGAAGGGCAGTGCAGTGTTAGTCTGGGATCCGTTTCTTTACCTTTGCCGTGGATTAACTTATGGCTCTCCTCACTGATTGCTCTATCAAGAATTACAGACAGCTAGGCTACTTTATATTAGCAAATTAAATAGATGTGGGGTTGCTATGTTGTTCCATAATTATCCTTTCTGTTGCTACTCGATGCAATGTTGGGTAGTGTCAACTGCCACTTCTCAGTGAAAACATCTCTAGTGGTCTGGTAGAAAGCATGTGCCTTTTGGGAACAGTCCCTGTTTTGAAGGAGTGAATAGAATTTATCCAAATGGCTGCAAGATAGGCTTATAGGCTGTGGCACCTGTCTTCAAGACCAAGGAACCAACATCCTTGATTTTATAGAGATGTAGTCCTCTCAGGCTCGTTTAGAAAAGTTCAGCTTTGCTCTTAAGGATTTGATGAGGAGAGATATGCAATTTTTCATACGTGGCCTGAAACATCACCACACAAATGTTGTGCTCCTGACTTTCCTCTTGTGAACTGTTCTGCAAAAATATCAATGCACAGATGTTTTAATATCACACACTTAAAGCTGTAGTACCTCGTCATACTGAGGTACCGCCTGTTATCAATAGCCTTTGGCTTCACAGCATGTATGAATTTGATTAACAGTGTAAATGAGGTGGTTCAGAGCAGCTAAGCAGCAGTTCTCTTGCAATGGAAAACAATGTGCCTCGTTTAGTACATCCAAGGCAAACTTTCCCCAAATAGTTCAGTATTTTGTATTCTTTCTTGTGTGTGAGGTTGGAAAAAAGGAAAATTCCCTCTTCTGTAAGCATGTGAAATTGATGAGATACAGCAATTGGAATGATCGTTTCTAGCATAACATAGACAGTATAACAGAAATTACTTTTTCTGTATTGCCCAATTTTGTGTTACTCTTGCTTGGCAAAAGATTTATTAAAGAAATTCTCTCTACCTTTGGGGATCCCAAGTGAAACAAAAAAATCTTGTGCTTGCTTAAGTTCTCTTTCCTCTTCCTTTCTGTGTAGTTGACCTTTCAGGCGGTATTTCATTTTGTGCTGCATTAGTAGAGTAATTTTGCCCTTTAATATAAGATCCCAGGGCATTACAGCCCTTTAACAAAGTTGAAGAACAAAGAAACCTAGAGTGTGAGTGGCAGGCACTTTATTTTTAATTAGCAGGTAAAAATCCATTTGAGCTGTATATTATCTGTTGATTTCTGATACCACTGACATAATGCAATAGCTGGGAGGCGGATAATACTTGTTTTAGAAAGTATCAACGTGACAGGGTTTTTTTGTCTTCTAAAAGTATTGCTGAGTGGAGGTACAAACAGCTCCAAAATGACATCAGTATTTTTTTTGAAGGACAAACATCTCAAAATGTACACTTCAAAATTGTAAGCTTGGTGTTTTTAAACCTTCCCTGACTACTGAAACTATAATAAGTAAATGTAACAGTTATGTAAGATAAATTTTCACAAATACAAAATTATGGTTTCTATATATATGTCAGAAAAATATTCCTATTTTCTACATTTCAGAAAGACACAAACTTTTATCTGAGTTGTCCTCTAGCTAACCCTGCCAAAGAAACACTAAGTTTAAGAGCTAAGTTTAAAAAAAAAAAAAAAAAAAAAAAGTAGGTGTCTTTAACCATAAGAGAAACCCTCAGAACTAAGTAAAGCGTGGCTTTTCTTCATTATGTGCCTGGATTTATGAAGTGATAGTGCAATAACATAATATAATGGCCTACTTGCTGACAAACCAAAATGATTGCATCATGAATTTAGAGACTGTTTTGCCTACTTAGATTTTTGTATGTGTAAGTGACTGAGAGGCAAATGTTTAAAGCAGGTGGAATACCTTTGCTTTTAATCAGGAGACCTGAATTTAGGTTGCTTGCAAAAGAGCTTGTTTATTTCTCTTTGGAACATGCATGCAGAAAAGTTGGTAGCTGCTACATTGGATCCTTCGGAGAGGAAGATGAGAAAGAGGTCATTTGTTACTGGTTCTGTGTGTCTTGCAGGCAGTGACTCAAACCTTCAGCCTTCCTTAACGTGTATTTCCACAACAGCACATGGTGTCAGCCAGTGTGGAAAAACATCAAAAGGGAGAAAGTAATATTAACCTGGCAACTTTACTATGGTAGAAAGTCGTTTTGTTGCATATAAATCTGTGAGAAGATAGATTAGCAGAATTTAGTTGGCAGCCTTCCTGGAGTTTGAAGTTGGCCTTGTTCCTTATGGAAAAGTAATAACAGATCAGATGAGTTTCCAAGAATGAGAACCTAGAATTCTCTCTTTTTCCACATCCACTCAAGTGCCATATCTTTTGCTTGGAGTGTATTTTCACCTCATTCTGGTCCCATGAATCTCATTATTCTAGACAAAATGGAACAGATCCAATAAGGGAATTCGAGTGTCTGTTCCTCGGGATTATTTGCTAGCTTAGTAGATAGGTGTTTTCGGTATCCCCATCTCCCATAAAAAGTGCCTATTTCCCAAAGGCATGGAAGGACAGCACATTGAGGTCTCCTGCATCCTTGTGTGTGTTCTAAATAAAGAACTTTGAAGGACAGTCTTACTACTTTTCATCAACTTGGTCTTAAAAGAAGGGATCTGCTCTAGAAAAGCTATGTTAGATGGTGATCTGCTGTGGCTGTGAATCCTAAATGGAGGAAGAGTCTATGGAGAATTGCTTTGTTGTTTTCGAGAGTCATAAGCTCAAATCCTGAACTCTTTCTTTATTGGAACTGAGAATTTCAGGAACAAAGAGTAGCAGTGATTCATTGTGTGAACAAGATAGAAAAGAATACAGCCGTAATTTAGGGAATGTCCTATTTCTTTAAATAGAGCTAAACATTTTTGTTTACTTTTATTGTAAGCTTGATTAAAAATTAGAAGCAAAATATAATTTTTCACTGTAGATGAAAACATTGTTTTTATAATGAATATATCAAAGTATGTTTCTCTTTTTAGGAAACTCACATATTGTGTGTATTTGTCTAAATGTTTTTAATATTTTTAAATAGGTTTTATATATTTTTAGGTGTTTTAACAAAATACAAGTATTGGTGTTTTTCTGTGCATCAGGGGAAGAGATTATTACAGTTAACAAAAATCGCCACTGGATGTCAGTATCGCACATACAAAAGCTGACTCAAAGCTTTCCTTTTGAGCTGGTTCTGTAGAGCTTTTTGCTATAGGTTCATAAATACTTTCTGCAGCATTTTGGAATGGCTGTGAAGGGTTGGACTCTAGCCTCTGAAAGCGTAAATTGTTATCTGAGCTCCAGCATACATCTCCAGGCACTTTCCAATGTTTGTTGACACTCTTGCTTTTTACATTAAAAAGTACTTCTTGTAATGGTGACGATGTGTATATATGCTTCCAGAGTCAGGACGGGTGGGGGGGTGGAGGGTATTTTGTGTTTTAAAGCTTCCTGATGCAGTAAGGAAATAAAGAACCCTTCATACCTACATTTCATATGGAGGATCCTGTCTTCAACCAATTAAAAAGAAATGTAGCAATGAAAAATAAAAGAATTACATTATTGTGTGAACAATATGTAGGAAAGCTTACTGAAGCAGTCTGGTTCATGAATTGACAGATCTTATGTGTGTCTTCTATTTCTTTGTAATTTACCTTTGCATAATGCATCGTTGCCAAGTCTGGCCTTAGTATGTTATATAGCAAGCAGTCATTTGCAGTCATGATTGAGGTTCTTAGAATATCAGAAGTCACTTCAGACATTTTCCACAGTCTGACAAATGTTCAGAGGCTTTGTA